CACAGTAAGCTCCTTCTTCCTGAGTTTTCCAACTACTGCAGAGGCTATCCTCACGGGGCAACAGCAATAGTCCCATCTGTTTGGCACTTAGGGTTACCCAGGCATGTCAAAAAGGCAGAGCACCCCATTTAATGATGAGAAAGCTAACCCACATAGCACACATGCTGCTGCAGTTGTTTAAAAGCAGGGTTGTTGACTTTAGAATGCATGATTCCTGCCCTAAGATAAACCGCTCCTTTCACTTCCAGGGGTCTGGAGTTAAGTGGCTTCCTATTATGATCATCCTGCCCCTTCCTACAGAACTCAAAGGAGCTGCTGAAAGAGAACCCAGCAAATAAACTGGCCCCAGATTTTTGAGGAGCTCTAGTTGAAGTCAGTATGCCCAATGCTGATTCAAGTTCCCTTCCACACTCTTGGGTTAGTTTTATTTTTATTTTATTTTATTTGGTTTTTACGAGACAGGGTTTCTCTGTATTGTTTTGGAGGCTGTCGGTTCAGCCCAGTCTCGAACTCACAGAGATCCTCCTGCCTCGGCCTCCCGAGTGCTGGGATTAAAGGCGTGCGTCACCACCGCCCGGTGGGTTATTTTCTTATTTAATGATCTGGTGAAGGGGTACCCAGGGCAAAATAGCTCCAGAATTTGACAAATTAAGCCTTTCTTCATGACTTGTCTAAACTACTAGCACACACAACAGTGTCTCTTACATCTCCTAGTTCACATCCCTGATACTCATGTGAGCCCAAGTTTCACCCCTATGTGTGATTCAGGCACAAGCAGCCCTGAAGTGAGTAGGTGAGTGACAGAGAGTGAGGTGATTTGGATCCCCTCAGCACTATGAGATGCTGCAGATTCTTCTTAGAGGAGTATTTAAAATGTAATAAAGGATTGCAAACAAAACCAACTTAAATAGAATAAAGGACCACAATAAAAACAAACCATATTGAACTACAGTTATCAAAATACTTGTAAACTAAGAAAGCACGTGCTTCTTTCCAAAGGCAGTCAACACTAAAATTGAATGGATTCTCAACATTTCCAAGTAGTAATATACTTCTGAGATATCTGCACCCAACTCAATGTGATTTAAAGATAGTCATGGTTTCTAGCACTGAACAAAATAGTGGAAAATGCTAATGCTGAGTTTGTTGCCTCTGTGCATAAAGACAACACATGAGGAATATGAGCTGAGAGTCTGAAAGTAAAGATCTAGCTATTTCTCATCCTAGTTCAGAGACACTCTGGAATTCCACCTAGACACCTCCTGGACTGTGGTTAAGAATTGGTGATCAGAGTAGAGAGAGAGACTCTTGCTGGATGGAGGGAAGCAGTGAGTAGTAGTCCCTGGGAATAAGTCTCTCCAATTAGTCTCCCTGATTCTGCTGGAAGTCTTCAAAGGCAATTGTTTGGATTGCCTCACAGCGTCCTCGCAAGTGCTCACGGTGAGTTTCACCAGCACTCCTAACAGTCAATCCATTTATTACTAATTATTTACTAGTAAAACTGCCAGTGAGAAATGCTGCCCACCTCAGTCCCTCTCCATGAGGGCAAGCTGTAGGATGTACATCCTAGCGATAGCTTGGGCCCCCAGATAGCAAGCTTGGAAGATGATCTTAGTTCACTGTCACAACCAGGTTGTACAATAGTAAAATGCTCCCCCAAATGGGTAGATGTCACACAGAGGACAACATGGGAAGATTCTCAGGGCTGGTGCTGAGGAGGTGGGAAAGCCATGGCAAGCCTGACAGAAACACTGACAGATCCTGGTACGACAATTATTTAAAGCAGCTAATGTATAGGGTGATCCTAACCCAAGGCTCCTTCACCTGTCCCCACAAACCCATTGCTGAATGTGACTTAGCTGACAAAATGCATCAGGTTTGATGGCTCTAAAGTCACCAACTGACAGAACATGACGGCCCTCAGGGACCATCTCATTCACGACCTTAGCCCTGAGTTCAAAGACCCGTTATTGAAATCAGCTGTGAGCAGTGGACATTTAGCCCCTGCCAAATTGGCAGAGCATGTTCCATATGTATATAATTTCAGGAGCTTCAAGGACCTTTTGAAGTATGTCCTGGTCGAAACCATTTGGTTTCATTTCCTCCCCATCTTTCTTTCTTTATAAATGATAAGGCAGGATCCAAGGAAGTGAGGGACCTTCTCACATCACAGGCAGCCAAGTTGAATGCCACTGTTCACGGCAGCCCATGAAGGCAGATGCTAAGGGCTTGAACCTGATAAGAGGTCAGGCCACTAGAAATTGTTTCTCTTAGTCCCCATACCTTGGCCCCCGTCCCTGCCTGACATGGTGCCAACAGAAAGCCTCGGGCCTGACCCAGAAGGAGGCTGCACCTGCTGCACATTTTCCTCGGGATATGCCCTGGTCTCAGAACACAATCCATCTCACTTGCTGTAATGAGGACAGTCCCTTACCCCAAGTGGGGCTCCCAAAGAGGCTGGCCCTGTTATTTAAGGCTTTGTCTTCCTACAAATAATAAATGCAGAGAGCACAGGCCTGGGAAAGTTAATTAGTATTATTATGTCTGTAATTCTAATGTTGCTCACTGGCAGAGCTCTTTCGTGCCAGCTTTCAGCCCAGAACAGACTTTTGTGATATGTACTGGGATAAGCCCTGCTGAAGCTGGGCTTTTCTTGTGTCTAGAATGGGAAGTGCCTCTGCTTAGGGCTGAGAAACCTAGAGGATGAAGCTGTTGGGGGAGAATTACTCAGTGTGGAACACACACACACACACACACACACACACACACACAGTATCTCAGTCCCCAGAAAAAAGAGTCAAAGTTAATAAGAATGCATATGTTACAGCCATCTTATTAGAATAGGATAACAAGGTAGATGCTGCCTCAAATGGCATGTGTATTCATTCTTCAGGGGGGAAGGGGGCTTGAAGAACCATCTAGCATCTCACCAATTAATTAAGGGCCCAGTTTCTAAGAGAAAGTAGAGTGCTCTGAAAGAGCTGAAACTCTGTAAGGTATCAGATAGAGAGCAGTGACACTCAACACTGTGACACATCCAAACCTGGATTAAATGCTCCACTGCCTTCTCATCATCGTGTCATCCTTTAGAGGCCATATTCATATCAGACCATTGTCTGGAGGCAGGGGTGTGGTTCAGGTGGTAGAATGATGCTGCATGCATGACCACCAGCTCCACATAAACCAGAATGGTGGCACATAAACTATAGCCCCGGCATTTGTAAGACAGAGGCAGGAGAGACGAGCAAGGTCAGCTTGGTGTCTCATAACAAAACAAAAGTAAACACCAGTGTCTAGATATTGTCTTTTTGCTGCCCAAATCACAAACATTCTCCCTATAAAGAAACAGTTTACATTACATGTTAAAACAGCAAAAACAAGTCCGAAAAGTTACACCAAACTGGCAAAGTCTGTTCTGCATGAAACAGATTTGAAGCACACATACTACCCAAAGTGGTTAACCCAGGGCTGTTAACCCAGGGACAGCATGTCTCTTCAAGAATGCATGCTCAACTAACAATACTTCTGACACTCTGACACTGGGATATGCTGGATATGTGTTAAAACTGATTTGATCATTCTAAGGATGGCAGTGGGAATCAAGGGACCCAAACTAAGAACAACATTCCAACACTGTAGTCAGCTCTCCGTGACAGGCAAGACTTAGCTCAATGCCACTTCCCCATGAATCTGACATGTAGTAATTCGTTCAAGTTCACATGGCACATACATGTCACAGGCATGGAGGCTTGAACAAATTACTTCTACTTCTTGGCGCCACGTCTTCTCACCTGGGAATGGGAACTGGATGGGACCATGTCTAAGACTTAAAAGCCTTACAGCTTATGGGAAAGGCAAGAAAAAAATGAGCCATTTTGGTTGGATCTGTCTCTGGCTTCATATTTCCTTTACACTTTTAACAACAACACATCCCCATATTTGCCCCAAGCCCTGGGTGAGTAAAATTTCTCAAGGTTAAAAACTGTTTCTACTTATGCTAAAATGTGAAAGAGAAAACCAATAAAGGGATGCAAATGGTTACTTACAATTTCTCTAAGAGACTGAAGGAGCTAAATAAAGGGTTCGTGACTATTAGTCCGGGACAACCTATCATCACTATTGCACGGACAAATTGTATTGCATGTCAGATGCACAGAAGACGCACGATAATTTATCAGTCAGGACCCAGAAAATTGTACAGTACATGAGCCTCTGCAGCCCCACGCATCCCTTCACGCCGTCCTCCCTGCTCTGTTAAAGGGACACTGCCAAGAAAGGCCCCGATTTAGGCCTTGGTTTAAAAAAAGCACTTCAGTAAAACACAAAATGAATAGAAATATTTCCATGACATTTATCAGGAAACAACAGAAAGAAGAAAACAGTGTTTTTCTCACTTGTTCTCCTTCCCTCCTGTGGTTTTTACCATTCTCTAGGTAGTTTTCTAAACACAGTTACAAAAAAGAAAATTAAACTTGTGTTGTAAACATGGAATTGGCCAGGAAGACAGACTAGACAAACCATCCATGGGGGCCTGTTTAAAAAAACAGAAAAGGGGATAAAAGAAAAGGAAAGGAAAGGAGGAAAGGGAAAACGAGGACAGAACCCCAAGAGAAAGCAAGTCAAGTACACAGTGGCCAGGGATAGGGACACACTTTGATATCCAGTGTAGGAGGCATTCCTCCCAATGGAGAGGCATGTTTTATCACTGACAGGGTTTGGAACGTGCACAATACAACAACAGTTTCTTAAAAGACCCAAATTTTGTTAGTTTTATTACTTTTAAAGTCCCCATAAACAACAAATCCCTAGAGACCACAGGGCAGATGGCTCCCATCAACCCATCCTAGGAAGGCCCTTGAACTCATTAGTTGGCTTAAATGTGTTAGGCTGGACCATTGGAGGTATCTGACGCCCTGAGGATGGATTTATGATCCTCCAGCCCTGGGATATGGTGATGGAAAAGTGAGATTTTAAGGACTGCAGACTAGACAGGCCAGAGAGAGGATGCCAAGACAGTCTATCCATTAGGGCATTTAACCCATTCCAACAGAAGGGCCTGTGGTCTGGGACATACGCAGAACCCTTTGGAAGCTGCTCCTGTTTTCCCAACTTCTGTTCCTGAGACACCTTGGCCTTGGGAGCTCACTCCTAAGACCTGGTGCTCCACCTTCAGCAGAGTCTTGTTGTTTCATGTCTAGGTTCCATCAGCAATAAAGCGGGAAGGCACAGAGGCTGAAGAAGGGCGATAACATACATGATTTACTAAGGTATGCGTGCGTGCGTGCCATGTACCCAGCCCAAACCTCCATATCCCCTCCACTGGGATCACTGGAAATCTATACCATCCCACTCAGCTATTAGACTTGCTCCCCTGGATCCCTCAGGACCACTTCCCATGTAGGAGATAGTGACACTTGCATGTGACACTTGCATGTAGACCCTGTACCTTACTCTCAGGACGGCACACAGAACCAGAAAGACCTCTGGGGATTACCGGTGATTTTACATTACACATGCTGTGCTTCTAAGTGAGTAGTGTCATTTGCATGGACAAAGATTTGTTGCCTTTGTGCATAGGATTCATGGCTGCAGGGAAGGAAGCAGAGGTACTTTTCTGAATTTCCTTGCTATCACCCCATAACCAAAAATGACAGTTTGAAGGACACCAATGGTGAGTAAATGAAACACTAAATCTCTCCTTGTGAGGGCCCTCCAGCATACCAGTGAGCCATGGGAGCAACACACTTGAAGTCTGATAAGACAGGGACAGCAATACTGTCCAAAAGCCGGGCCTGGCTTCTGAGCTCTGCCAGTGTGGTGCCCTATGTCAGTGTACTGGATGAGCACACCCAGACCTCCATAAAAAACATGGAACTGAGAAGCAGAAGGTGCCCCTGAGAGGGAGGGCACAGAACACTCACCAAAGCCTTGCTTCTGTGGAACCTACAGAGACTGCTGGAGATGAAATGCTAACTATGGGTTCCTGGGCCAGCCCCTTTAATTCCTCCTTTTGTTGGCTGGATCCCAGCCCTCCCTTTTCTTCCAGGCCCCTCCCCAAATATCTCACCAGCTGGGGAGTTGCCCCACCCCTAATTATTAGCCCAGGGCTGCCAAGATGCAGCTCCACCCCCGCAGAGGATGGCAGCAGAGCACAGAATGTGACAATGGCAGCAGCAGGTGGCCCTTCAGAAAAGGCCAGATCCTCTCTCTGTGATTATGGTTATCCATCTGCAGCCCAGCAAGCCTGGGCAACTCTGCTCTTAGGGGTACTATCCTCTCTCTGAGGACCCAAGCGGAGGTATCTAGGTAGAAAGGTACACTAGGAACACACTCAGCTGGCCATAAGAGGGACTGTTCAGTCAAGGGCCACAGTATTCTGGTTAGAGCTCAGTGTCAGAGTCCTCCTAAAGCGAGCAGTTAAACCCTCCACAGTGCCCACTGTGCAGACAACTCCAGCGACAGGAAGGGTCCCTAGTCTGACAAAGGGGCAGAGCCTCCTTGCCTGTCACAAAAGGCCAAGGCAACCCTTTAGAAGGAAGTGACAAGAATCTTTAGGAGTAACCCAGCATTCCTTGTACATTTACTTGTCCCTCTGTCCCTGAGCTAGCCACCCAGCAACTGCTCGCCTATTGTTTGTTGAGATCTTTGTATATCCCTGCCCTGTGCCATGTGTTGGAGTTATGAAGATAGAGAGGCCTTACCCCCTCTACCCATCCCCTAGCACAGGTCTCCTGAGAGTGTCACACACACGATTTCATGGAGACTTTGTCACAAGCATGACAAGAAATACTTTACTCACCAGTGGGGCTCAAGCTTGCCCCAGTCACAAGCAGGTTCCACACTTGGAGTCTGGCCTGGACTTCTGCTCCAGTGTGCTCTCTACTGTAGCTTTCTGTGGGTACACAGCTAGTGCTTGCCCAAGCAACAGCCAGGGTCTGGGAGGAAGCTGTGACTGCGACTTCAGTTTCTGCCACCCTGTTAGCCATCTTGGCAATTCCTGCGACGCTTATCAAACAGCCACTGGCAGGGAGCTCTGTGCTGGGGCAGGTGGTGTAGGTGGCATGATGCCCTGACGCCCTGCTCAGCCGGATTCTCCATCCTTCTAGCTTGTTTATTTGATTCTTCTCTAACAACTTTAGGTTGCTTTAATCTTTGTTCCCCCCATTCCTCTTGATCTGGTGGCCTGCACCAGCACTGTCTCTGCAGGACAGTCAGCCTGTGTCAACACCGGCCAACACTGAGGCTGGGGGAATCTTGTTAATTACAGCTTCACTGGGCTGGTTAGATCTTTGTTAACTTGATACAAGCTAGGGTCATCTGGGAAAAAGGATTCTCAATTGAAAAATGTCTCCACAAGACTGGGGTGTAAGCAAGTCTGTGGGGGCATTTTTGTAATTCCCTGTCTTCCTCACGTTGCTTCTAGTTATGGTGTTTCTCACAGCCACAGAAACCAAACTAATGGCAATCGCTGTGAGAAAATCTCTGCCCCGGACAGGTATATTAAAATGTATACATTCGCCAGGCTGAAGACTCACTTGTTATCAGCCACGGTGGCAACAGTGAAAAACATCTTGAGGATATAATGTACAGAAAGGCGAGGCAGTGGGGCCAAGAGCAACCAGAAGCAACAATTTCACATTAACTGCACACAAGAAGCCAGAAACACTTCCCAAGGGAAATATTCAACCATCTACAATGAGTTGTCAAATGTAAGAAAGTGTCAGTGTCTCTGGCCTTGAGGACTTGCAGTCTGGCCCTTTCACTCTGTGGTGAGTCGGCTATGTTTGGCCAGTTTATGACAAAAGACTTGGTCATGGTTCCATAGGAACCCAGAAGATGGACCTCTTGACCTTGGTGCCAGGATTGTGTGGCTGAGGTGGGCAGTGCCTGCGCCTTACACATCATAGCTCCTTTGCACATTAGTGTCTCTGAAGCATGCAGAGCACTGTCTCAGCTGTGCTCTTTTCCTTGGTGCTTTCCAGGGGAAAGGGGAGCAGGCAAGGGACCAGCTTGACCTTCTCTAGGACACAGACCCCGGATGAACCAATCGGGCCTTCTCTTGGCTGTTTTCCCATCTGAAAGTCAAGTCAGCACTGGCACCTACAAAGCTGAAAGCTGTACACGGTGGGTAACCTGGAGAACAGCACTCACAAGCCAGAGGCAGAAAAATCAAAAGTTTAAGCCCATTCTGGGCTACATAGTAACAAAACAACAAAGCTCACAAAAATGTCTATGTGATGTTAGGCACAGGTGGACAACAGAAGCTCCTTATGATTGCTGCTGGCCATGCCACAGAGAAGGTTGCCAAACATGTAATTCTCCTGCCATAGATACACATGTGGAGCCACACAGCTTTCCAAGGAATCTAGAATCTAACAGTTGGGTGACTGCAGTCAACCTCCATCTCTGTGCTAGCTGGATTCAGCAAGGCTGTCAGGGACAGAAGCTGGTCTATTGTCACATGATGCTGATATATCATTGCTGCAGCAGTGGGCATTGCCTATTATTAGATTCTGACTTCTAAATGAATGGTATATAGACCCTCTGAAGTTATGGAGGAGGAGTCTATATACCACCACAGAAATGGGGACCTGCATGTGGATGTGCACCAGAGAGACCTGGCCATGCTGCCAGACTCAGGAGTGGGAAAACCACTCTCGGTCCAAATTTCCACGCTATAGCCTGGCCCAGAGGAGGCAGCATGGCATAGGCTATGATACAGTCATACATGACAAAGGACTTGCAGCTTTAACAGCATGTTCAGGCTACCTCACTGGCACATCAGTCTAGAGAATAATGACTAACACACCCAGTCACAGGAACATTAGCAAGACCCAGGAGGTCAGGGAAGATGTAAGAAAACCCAAACACCACACAAGTAGAAAGCATGAAGACAGCAATCACCACCACAATGAGAACTTCAGTATAACCCAATGCAGCAGCCAAATTTTCCACCTGTTGCAATTGACATTCCAGTACTATACCATTATAGCATATCAAAGAAGACCTCCAGGATTTTGTGAAGAGTGGGGAAGACTGATCAGGAAAGGAAGAGAAAATAAAAACCAAGTACTGTAAATAAAAGTGCGCATAAAGACCACTAGCTTTAAGACCCTACCCAAGGAGGATCATTGTCCCCCAAGCAGCTAAGCTTCATCTTCTGAGAAACAGAGGCTGGATGGAGTCTGTGATCCTTCAGAACTCAACTTGTTCTTGCATGTCACAGCTCCACTGGGACCTCTGCAGAGTACAGGGAAGGAAGACATTGTCCCTTCTGCATTGTCTTAGCTGCGCTCTTTCCTTGGTGGCCACTGAGCCACAGCAAAGTGTTGTCCAGAGGGAAGGGAAGCAGGTAAGGGACCTAACCCACAGTAAGGTAAGTCTGTGGAAAAGGAATGGCAATGCACTTTGAAGGGTGGCATAATAACTGCCCCCCCAGTTGCAGGAGAAGAAAGTAGAACCTCATTTACTAAGTCTAAAGAACAAGATAGGTATGACTTACAAATTGTCCCCTGGCTTATAGAAGTATCCTAGTATCACCTCTGCTGCTGTGATAACATACCCTAACTAAAAGCAGTATCAATGTTATTTATCTTACAATTCCAAGTGATGCTTTCTTACTGCATGGAGGTCTAGGCAGAATAGAGCATCGGAGCAGAGAGGGAGCAGACACACACATGGATCCTCGTTTGCTGCCATTGCTCAGCTACTGTTCTCTAACCATCCAGGCCAGGGTCCAGCAGGTGAAACCACTCACATTCAGAGTGCCTTTCCACCTCGATTAACAGTCAGACAACCACCAACAGACATGCGCACAGGCCAAATCATTCTAAATAACTCACTGAGCTATGTCAGATTCAACAGTTGAAACTAACCATCACAAAGCTGCATCACATGGTTTTTCCTTCACTTTTCTTTTTTTTTTAAGTAAATAGGCTCTGACTTGTTACATATTCCCTAAGAAATGACGGGGAGCTTCACCCATGATACCCCAATAATATGGTTGCCTAAACAAGAAGTGAGTAAGGGCAACATGAATAGATATGCTAAATTAGAAGGGGGAAAATCTCATAGGGCCTCACCCCTAAACAGAGAACTGTAGGCATCTAAGGACTGCTGAGATCTGGAAAATTATTCTTCCTCAGGGATGAGCCCCCTAATCCCTAAAGTCACATACAACCTAAGTAGACTCAGCAGGTTGTTATTACATGCTTATGCAGATATGTATGTATAATAACAACTAAATAAATGCTCTTTCTTAACTGTCACTGTCTTGTTCTGAATGCCTCTCAAACTGTTGTTGACATGCAGGCATTTGGAGATGGCATCTGTGGGAGATAATTAGGATTAGGTGAGGTCATAGGGAAGGATCCTCCTCTTGATGGATTTGGGGCTTTATAAGAAGAGAGACCCGAGCTAACACACAGTTGGCCTGCTTACAAGTTGGTTTACTGTCATTGTAATGGAATATCTGAGATGAATAATTTACAGATATGAAGGGTTTACATGGGGTCATGTGTTCCATGGTTGGTTGGCCCCATTAAACTGGGCCCACAATGAGGTAGCGTATCATGGTGGAGGTGCATGGAGGAGCGAAGTTACTCACCTCATGGCAGCCAGAAAGAAGAAAGATAAACAAGGGGCTGGGATCTCCAAATCCCTTGCAGGGCACAGGCCCAGTGACCTAGCTTCTTTTCACGGGGCCCCTAGGCTCTACCTCCTAAAAGTCCCATCGCCTTCCATCAGCACAGTAGGCTATGGAGCAACCCTTTGACACAGGGATCTTTAGGGAACATTCAATATTTAAACTCTTAGTGTCTTTCCATGTAAAATCCTTTATGATGTTATGATGAAGCAAACAGCTTTCACCAGATACCAAGCAAAGTCTAAGACTACGAGTTAAACAGTCCTCTAGTTTTTTACAAATTACCCACTATTCACTTGTAAAATATAGAACATAATCACAAATGGAAAGGCAAAGGGGAAATGAAGCAGGTGGCGCCACTTTACAAATATGAATCTCACTATTTCACTTCCCTTCTACACACAGTCAGTGGTTCCATGCAAGTTACTTAGGACTCATTTCTTCTTGAGGCGGACGAGGGCTACAGATATGCTTCCCCCTAAGTGGAAGGCTGAGCCCTGCCTTCACCTGCTCCCTGGGAAGTTCTTTCTACAAGTCACCCCAGCTTGCAGCTCCCCTCCTACTCTCTAACATGTCACCCTATCTTAAGTCCCCATCCCTGATTCTTCTCTCTCCTGGCTTATTGGCTGTTTACCCCACCCCCACCCCAGCTAGATCACGGGCACTAGGAGAGAAGTCCTGTCTTGTGATCTAGTTTCACACGTGGAGACGCTCAGTGGTCATTTGTAGAATGAAGGCATGGTGAGCGGTAGGTCAGTGACCAGGAAGCTGTGACTGTTTCCCACAAGAGACCCTATAATGCACTGAGTGGCCAGGATGAGTGTGCCTTTTCCTTCACCAAAGGTCTATAGAGACCAGCCAGATTTCCTTCCTGTTATGATGGATTCAGGTTGTTATACTTTGTTTAGCCAGATGCCCAGATCCTAAGCATGTCCTACAGCCACAGGCCAGTTCTGTGCATAAAATGCACATGAGTGGAGACCCTCTGTTTGTTTTATCAGTGAGTTGAAAAGCTTCTGCAAAGTGGGTTGGTGGCCTTTCCCAGGGCTGGTCCCACCCAGTGTATTAACACTGCTAAGGAGCCTCCAGAAAGAAGTTGCATGAAGAATCCCTAGTCATCTTTGTCTTGATCAGAAAGCTGTTCCCACTCACGAGACCCTGGGCCTCTGACTGGACTTCCCAGCAACAGGCCAGTGCAGGGATTGGCCTTGGTATAGGGAGGGATAGCTCAAAAATGGCAATATGACAACAACACCAAATTAATGCTTTGGCTTATTCTTGTGGTTTACAAAAAAGAGTGAGTGCAGGAAGGAAGGGGTGGATGGGTTGTGGGAGAACAGAGTACTTTTCAGTACACCATGTGCCATCCGTCCCAAACTACATGGGATCACAAGCTCCTGCCTGAGCTCTGCCAATGGTCTGAGGTGCGTCAAGTCAACCTGATGTTGCTATGAGAACCAAATTCCTCCCCAGCACCATAGCAACAGACTCCAAAGTGTGTTAAGCACACAGTCTGCTCACACTTTACACCATAAGCTGGGAAAGAGAGCAGCAGGAGTTGTGGGGGTGTGCACATGGATATTTTCCTAAACCAATTAGCTGAAAACTCAAATACATGAGGCTCAGTTTGAACGGATTTGATCAAAGGGGGCACACATTAAAATCCCTCAGAGTCACTGAGAATTACTCTATCACCACCAAACTTTGGGGATCTATCTGTGGCTTCTTACATCATGCCCATATCCGCTATAATGAACAAGGTGCTTTGGTGAGAACAGCTTCCTTCCCATGTCACGGAAAACAGTCAACAATACACAGACAGCTATCCTAATGCTCTAGACCAAGACCCTAGTTCTTCATGCACTTCTTGGGGACAACACACTTCCCTACCATCTAAGGGCAGTTAACAGACCAGTAGATGGTGGTGCCTGTTCCCATCCTAATGGTTGGTGCTAATGGGTTGGCCTGGAGGTAGGACTACCCCAGGATCAGGGCAGGAATGTGGTGCTGGGAAGAATGGGCTGCTGTCCATTTTCCAGGAGTCAGAGCTAAGAAAGGAAGTCATTCTTCAGCATGTGCCCCCCAATGCCACAATTTGTTGCTGGACTGTCTATACCAGCAAGTGCTAGCATATTTGTTGCAATTGGGCTGATGCAGTGGGTCCGAAAATGTGATTCTCAGGCAATCAAAGCATGAGAAAATTTATTCAAAATGCAAATCCAGACATCTCCCTCCAGCCCTGTGACTCAGACACTCTGGGGTAGACCCAGCAGTCTGTGTGAGCCATCGTGGCAGGTGACTCTACCCCAAAGGTGAGTTGAGGCCCACAGGCTTACACAATCTATGCATCCCTCCACATTCCTTCCTTCTCAGCTTACTGGGCCATCGGGTCAACCATCAGTTAGGATCGCATACTCTCACAGTTAGAAGAGGCATAAGACATCATCCCTTCCTTACGATGCTGCTAGGCACCACGGGTGACCTTTTATAAGATAAACACTTGCACGTACCATACGGAATATCTGTCCCTTTAATGCTGACCCAGAAAAGACAGTTACCCTCTCTGCAACCACTTACAGTTTTCTTCCTCCATATACCAGCAGTCGGTGAGAATGTTGTCCCTTAATTTCCCTATCTCCAGGTTAAACATCCCTAAGTCCCTCTCTAGTCCCTGATATAACAAGGTTTCTAGTTGGTCCTGCAGGATCCCTCCCTGCCACTGGTCAAAGTGAAATGAACAAGACTGCTGGAAACATGGAGGAAAACATCCCAGTCATGCCTGACTTACACAGAGCATGGGGACTGTGCTTCCCCCTGCCTGGACAATAGGAACAGCACCTAAGGACACCTTGCTTTGCTATGGTCACATCATCTGGCCCATGCAGCAAAACCCTCTGTCTTTCTAATAATGCTGTAATTAAAGTCCTCTTCTATTTATATTTTGGAGCTTGAGCATATAAATTTACATTTCTAAGAATAAATTTGTCTCCTAGTTCTGGTCTAGAATTTTTATTCATATACCATTAAATTTATCCTCATACCAAGTTGAAATATGATACTCTGTATAATTATTTTCTTTTTAAACTTTATGACTGTACTCCATATGTTTTATATTTTACTGTTAGTATAAAATGAGCATTTCAACTTGTCAGCTTTGAAACAATTATTAGCTCATACGAATGATAACATTTATTGATTGATTTAAACACTCTCCTAATATGAAGCTCCTTTTTTTTTGCTGTTATACATAAAGCTACGGTGAACAACATTATCCATAAAATACAAATCTAGTTTCCTAGTCCAGACTCCTGGAAGAAAAATGACTGATAAAGAATAGGAACATTTCAAAGACCCTGATGCCTTGATGCCTATTAGTAAACTGCTTCCTGAGGTTATAGTTTTTCTCTCTTCTGACCATTGTATTTGAGAGCCTACTCCATCACAGTTTTTGCTACTGCACAATGCGTTTTTAGAAAGTCAATTTAATATATGAGAAACAGAATCTTTGACTTTTTTGTTTTACTAGTATGTTAACTAAATATACACACATACATGTGATGATGTGTGAATGATGGCTTACAATTTGTGAATTTGTTTGTGCCTCTTGCCAAACCACGGGGCTGTTTTGTTTCTCATACTGTTGAGGGTCTGTTTCGGCAGCAGCACTGACCATTCGTCTCTTCCACCGGGTGGAAGAGCACCTTCCCGCTTTGGACTTGCCTTCATATTTTCCTGTGTTTTATATTTTAGTTATATCTAGTTATGTTTACCTTTATGTCTAAAAACACCCTGCTAATGCTGCAACCAGTTAAATGTCCATGCCTCTATGCTCCCCCCTTCTCAGCGTATGCATTTACAATACATTTTACATTTAGTTCCTTAATCCATCTGTGATTTGTTTCGTGTCAATGGGCCAGGTCAGCATAGAAAGTGACTTTCTTCCTAAATGCTTTTCAGCACCCCTTCCTCCCTTCCTCTCCAACTCTGGATGGGTCCTGGCCCTTCTCTTATTGTAGCGTCTCACTAGTTATATGTGACCCCAAGAAGACACACCATGTCGTGTTTTAGTTGTTTGTGGCATGCATCATCTGGAGGGAATTTCAAACTGGCTCTGCCAGGGAGATCAACCTTGTGGGCTGGTGTGTCTCATGGGTGCTTTGCCTCTCAGGGGGGTGACATAGATTGACTGTTGGTGTCTCTTAAAATGGTGCTGCACACTGACTTACACTGGGCACCTCCATTTTTGAGAACTTTATTCTCCAGACTTAAGGTCATCTCTCCTGGGGTTTTGTTTTCCTTTGTGTTTTACTGTGCTGCCTGAAGGTTCTTTTTATTTTTTTCCATGCCAGTACCACTACACTCTCTTGCTCTGAGTGCATTCCTCACTATGGTATTCACGTGTTTTCCTTGGTAAATTCTGTTTATTCTTCCATATAAACTATAAAACTATTTTTGTCAAGTACCCCTCTTCCCATATCCCACCAAAATCAGAAACCAATCAAATAAGCAAACACTATGAATTAACCAACCAAAGAAAACACCTTAAGCTACTGGTTATAACTTTTCAGGTTAGAGTAAGTTGGGAATATTTGTCATCTCTCTTTCTGGTACAAATGTGTTTCTCTTTACTCAGAATGTCCTTTGGTTGGATTTATCATCATGTAGTCAGGTGTGTTTAAGACTATCCCATTTAAGGATGCACTAAAGTTTTGTAAATTCTATATATGGGAATCATTTTCCCTTGTATTTTCTAAATGGGCAATTTTGATACCTAAAATATTATTGCTTTTTAAAATATTTATGTCATATGCAACACCCTTCTGAATGTTTTTGTTAATTTTAACCATTTTCAGTTAGCTTTTCTGTGACCATAATCACTCTGTTTGCAAATATTGACAATTTTGTCTCTTCCTTTCCATTCCTGCATTATTGTATCCTCTAGACCTTTTTATGCCTTTACATGTATGTATGTGTTTAACCTTGAAAGAGCAAGAGTAGGTTTAAACTCACTGACCTTAAGTCAAGATGGAACAGAGTCAATTCTGTGGGCTCCCACAACCACAGTCGCTGTGAATTCACCCAAGCATTAACCATTTCAGCATTTCACAGCACCCCTTCTAACCTCCTGCTCTAATTTCTGGCCCTTTGTTGTAGATGTTTATGATACTAGGTATAAGATCCCTTCTGTGGAGCAGGTCTCATATCCAACCAACCCAATCCTAAACACTGTTTATGGTCACCCTCATTAATAGTATGGCCAGCATTACACTAACAGGCAAATCTTGCCGGGCCCTTTTCCCCCTGCAGCTGGGATAGCACCTTCTAGCACTGAAATTTAGCCAGTATGGAAAGTTCCCTGGTCATTTCAAGACTGATTTCCCTGTGTCATGCAACCAAATTATGGGGTGTCTTCAGCAATAGGATCTTGCTCTCTAACTATGGTGGATAACCCAGAGCAATGTCAAGAGCTGGTAACTGATTTGGATCCCTCCGAGGCCTCTTTAACCAATACCTCATAGGGGGGTGACCCACGTGTGGCACTGAGATTTTCATTTAGTAACTCTTGCCTTCTAGGATAAGCATTCTTCACCAGTGTGAGGTATTTTTTTTTCAAATTACTTTTTTTTTGTTTTTAAGAAAAGAATTAGTTTTCAAATTACTGGGGTATCACAAGACTTCTCCATACATCCTTAGTTTTAGTTAGCTTACCCTACTTTCCCTTTCCCTATTCCCTGTATGCACCTGCACTTCAACCTTCAGCTCTCAGGGTTCTCCGCATTCTGTCATATGTTCTAATGCCTCCTCTTATCCTAGTTTTATATTTGGATCACAAGATCACAGGTTTCCTGCACACATCATTTTGTCGATGCCGTCCCTCTACCGCTCTCTTAGCTGCTAGAACCCCTGTCCTCCAGTGCCATTCCTCTCTACTTTCTCTTCACATACATTCTACCATCTCCACTCCCTGACACATCCTTCCTGACAGTGGTCTGCTGCTTGTTCCTAGCTACTATCTGTTAAAACATCCCATGTTAAACACGCAAAACTAAAGATCTGAAGCTAGGACCCTTATATGAGATAAAACACATAGTATTTGTCTTTTTGACCTTACTTGATATTATATATATAATATATAAATGTATACACATATATATATGAGCAGGTATACATATATGTGAATATATGAGCTTACTTAATATTTTACATATGAATATTATATATACAAAAAGGAGAGCTTACTCAGTATTATAATTTTACAGTTCTAGTGTTTCTTTAGAAAAAATTTTATTGCTTATTTATCTAGATATGTTTATGTGTGCATGTGTGGTGGTGAGCATGCGTGTCTGTACATTGATGCATGCTGTGGTGCACACATCGAAGTTGGAAGTCAGCTCCCCCTTTCTACCATGTGGGTCCTTAGGATCTGACTCAGGCTTGAGAGCAATCACCGTTATCTACTTACCTAAGTTGAGTTTTGATGCTTATTAGCATGCAAAATTACTAGCAATAATGCTCTTAATTTTCAAATCTCTTCAGTGTGTGTTGTTATGCTTCCTTGTTAATTTCCTTGTTCTCTATTATTTCTAAGTTCCCAAAGAAACATAATTTATTTCACAGCACCAGTTCCTTGATACATTTATCAAATCTATTCTTAAGCTACTTCCTAAATAATTAATTCAATGTCAGGACTTCCTATATCACTTCATTTTTTAAAGGCTGATTTTAGTTTTAAGTATGTAAGCAAGTGTGTGTGCGCGCACGTGGTGTGTGTGTGTGTGTGTGTGTGTGTGTGTGTCTTTATATGGGTATGTACATATGATATGAGTGCAGGCACCCATGGAGGCTAGAAGAGCAGTAGGAGTGCTTAACCACTGAACCACCCTCTCCAGCTCCCAAATCACTTTATTTTTAGTGTTTCTCTTGTATAGAATATGGATGGATTTTATTTTTAACCTAATTCTTCAGTTTAGGTTTTTTATTTTTGAGATTATAAAATTACATCATTTCTCCCTTCCCTTTTCCCTCACCAAAACCTCCCACATATTTCTCTTTGCTTGTTTTCAAAGTCATATTCTCTTTTATTCTTTAATTGTTGCTACATTCCTGTGTGTATGTGTGCATGCATATATATTCCCAAATATATAGAATATTATTTGTATGTGTGTTTTCAGGGCTGCCATTTGGTATTAGGTAAACAACTGCCATGTCCTTCTAAAACAATGACCATTTCCTACTCTTCAAACCTACTTACATCATAATTAACATGCTGGGACCTTACTTTACCATTTTTGCTATGATTGCTAATACTTTTGTGCATTTATTTTGCATTTGTTTTATAGACTATAATTTGCTATATTTTGGGCTTTTGATGGTTTTTGAAAGTTAAAACCTGATTTTTAATCTTTACATTTGTTAAATATATATACACCCTAAACTTCCAAATTTACAATGTTCAAAACATCTGTAGCTTAGGGCTTCCTGCACCAAGACAAGCTAAATACATATAAATACCTGATTTCCCCAGTATTTTGTACTTCTTTGCCATTGTAAATTAATGGTGTGTATGTAGTTTCTATTATATATTTTAATTATTTTTCAAGATACCTTTTAGAATAAATTCTGATTGGCAAGGAGTGAACACAGAATCCATAGTCTCATACACACTAGGCAAGCACTCTTACCACTGAATTATACCCTAGCCCTCTAGTTTATATTCTGTAACTACAGCATAGTTATTTTATTAATAGTGTTAATGAGTTGATACAAGTTGTAATATATTGTGTGCTTTTCATCTTCTGTGTAATAATCACAGAAACTGTGCTTTCTTGATGAGGTTCACATGGGTTAAATAAATTTTGTTCAATTCTAAATTCAGCAGCAACAGAGGCAAGGTTCATTTGCAGATGTCTGTTCTCTTGCCTGTTATGGCCTAACTCTGTTTATTATTGGCTTAAAGCTGACCTAATTCTTAAATACATTAGACTTTGAAAACTTCATACAAGTATTTTGGTCCCCTCATTACTCCTTTATCTCCTGCCATATTTATTGGATCATGGACAACTTATCAGTGGCTACACCACTGGGGGAAATGATTCTCCCTGCCCCAGTAGCCTCCAGCTGCTAATAGCTCTTCAAGGAGTCATAGGGTCTTATCAGCTTCTCCCCCATCCATGCTGAAATGTTAGTACAGGGAACCACAGCTGCTATGAGTTTAAGAACTCAATTGTGTCCAGAAGACAGTATTTCACAGCACTCTGCTGCCCACTATGAAAATAAGCCTTTTTTTAAAAATCAAGAATGAGGGTAGGGATGGATATAAACACAAATATGCCAACGTCCATTTGGTAAAATAACAGCAGTAGGCTCCCTACTTTGGGCCTATGACGTCCCTACCCATGGGCTTTTGCCTAGGTTTACAATACCAAGTGTGAATCTGCTCCCATGGAACAGACCTCAGAACCAATCATACAGCTGTTGGTTACCACCACAACTGCCATGTCAGTATTATACCAGTGGGCACATCTTGCCTGGCAGGTATTGTGGCATGCAGAACCCACCTCTAGGTAAGACTGTGGGTGACGTGTCTCCCCTAGTGGTCTGCATAACCATCTCCAGCACCTTGGAAGCTAGCCAGCAGGAAACTTCTACTCAGTTTCAGTTTGATTTCTCTTTGTCCTGCAACCAAAACATGCGATGTCTGCAGAAACACGACCTTACCATCCAGTTTTTCCTGGGCAAACGAGAGCAAAAATAATGTCCCATGTTGTTTTTATCACTTCTAGGACCAATTTGTCTATTTTGTACTGTCTTGGGTCATTAAGGACTAACTGCCCCACTGTCTCATGAGGAAGACATAAGTGCTTTATTTTCTGAGACTTGGTTTTGGTTGTCAACTTGACTACACCTGGAATTAACTAAAACTCAAGCAGCTGGGCACACCTGTGAGGGATTTGTCTTGATTGGATCATTTGAGGTGGAAGACCCACCCTAAATTTGGGCTAAACCCTCTGGTGGAGGAAGAAGGAAGCTATTGCTTTTAGCCTGCTTGCCCTCACTCTCCTACAAGTTCATCTACCCTGTTCCCAAGGTAGTGCTTTTGCTCATGCTCTATCTTACTTCTTTGGGAGTCCAATGTATACTGAAAACTGACAGCTGTCTAAGATTTCTCTGGGATTCCAGCACCAGACTGAAACTGCTGAGACATCAAATGTCGTGGACTAAACAACCAACCAGCAAATCCTTGATCTACAAGAACCAGGAGCTAGCCATTGTTGGACTACTCAAACTACAGCCTGTAAGTCGTCAGTCTCTCTCTCTCTCTCTCTCTCTCTCTGTGTGTGTGTCTTTCTGTCTCTCCCTCTCTCTCTGTCTCTCTGTCTCTTCTCTCTCTCCCTCCTCCTCTCTCATTTCTGTTCCATAAGAGAACCCTGAGTAATATACATTGTATATCTTTATATCTTTATGTGTCTTTACAGCATGTCACTATTTGAATGTATGTCATCTGTCCAGTTTGGGGGAGCCATCAAAGTCAACCCTGCAAAATCCAGGACAAGGATATGGCTCTCACTGCACACATCTGCCTTCTCTTTTTGAGACATCCCTGTATTGATGCTGATTTGCAGTGTGGTTTCTGATTTCAAGCTTGCTGGCATATTTATAGTCCTTTATTTGCAAGTTCTTAGGAAGCATATCAAGCATGTTTGGTCTCCTGTCATGTTAAGTGGGAAGGCAGAATAGATTTTGTAAACATATTTTTTCCATTTGAGCCATTGATCCTTTCTCCCGTTTGAGTCCTCAACGAACGTGAGTAACCCTCATGTTTATAGTTCTATGAAGTCTAGAGACAGACATGACAAGTAGGCCTGAGTGCCACCACAGTGAACTGTTACTCTGTCTTCAGATTACCAGCCAGCTAATCAACTACAAGACAATTTCTCCCAAGAAACACTGAGAAGTGTTCTTCCTCGAATACCTCCTTAAAGTCAGCCCCACCTTTGGCATTCTTTTGATGTAAGCACTAGTCACCCCCAAAGATAACTAATAACATGATTTTGTGTTGCTAGTAAACTGATTTCTTCCTAGAGTATGCACACACTCATCATCATCTTTTAAGGACTACACTCTAAACAGTCGGGACTAGAACCTACAGCCTCTCAGCCTTCTCTGTCCCTACCCAGATACAGTAATTTCACCAGAGTAGGGTCAGAAGCTCTGAGAAAACAGCAGGAGCATCCTCCAGTGGCTAGTGGACCCTCTGCTCCCAGGCAAATGTGACTCTAGCCAAAGACAGGGCTATTTCCGAACCCATTTCATAAGCTTTATTGATACACCAAGCTGCCACACTCAAGTGTTAGGGTTGTATAACCGCACAGACACTGGTGTACAACCTCACTCCACCCTCTTTGGCTGCGACTGGACCTTTCCAACAGGACAGCGAGCTCCTTTGTCACCACTGAGCAGTCCTGAGTTATGTGGTACCTCTCAGAAATGCCTGGAAATCTGCGTTTACCCTTTTACACGAACATCATTATGTCTTTCTGTTATGCTTCCATACATTTCCCATAGACCTTACAAACATACCAGTTATTGGGGGGGGTTGGGGATTGGGGAGATTGCTCAGTGTATACAGTATGCACTGTTTTGTGCAAGTGTGAGTACATGAGGCTGGAGCTTCAAAACTCAGAAGGCACAGAAGCACATATCTGTAATCCCAGAGCTCCTACAAGATTGGAGACACACAGGAGAGTCACACACTCATGCATGTACCCTCCCACCCCCACTCATTCACCAGGTAAGATAAGGAGAAATCAAAAAGAGATACAGGGTGAAGGGTGCTGCCTTTCACTTTGACCTCTCATTTAGAATTGAGGACCACAGAGGCTCCCGGGTGGGGGTGGATCACCTTGGAGGAGGCCTGCAGACATTGACACACTCTTTTGAGTAGCAATTCAGGCTCAAGGTCATAGCCAGGCACAATGGATTATCCATGATGTTGGTCTTACAACTGCCAGGCCTGAAACATACCTTCACTATCGCTCGGGTGACTGGATTACTATGTGAATACTCTTAGCCTTCTTTTCCTCCAACACAGCCATAGC